CTGTAGTTTAGACTTTTAATGTACCCAGCCTATGCGTCAGCTCCATGAAGATGCAGGACAGTGAGAGTTTAGAATGAGTAACTGTAGTGGACAGCCGGGGCCTGGTTAGAGGGAGGATCAAGTTCAAGTTCACCTGAAGTGGAGGAGACCAAGTCACTGGTGCCTGCTCTGGGGTATTTCCAATGCACCACACGTTGTATCTGACAACTAGCTCTTCATGTAGTTGTACACTGGTCATATGCCACTGGTCTGCCACTGGTCTCTGTGAGATGCTGGGCTGTAGATGTGACCATGAACCTCAAGTCTTACCACAGCCTTGGGAGAGGCGGGCACCACAGTCTGTAGCTGTAAAATATATTGACTGGCTTTGTTCCTGGATGATATGGAGAAATGTGAAAAGATGTATTCATTAGGTGGGGTTCACATCTATGATGAATAAACCACAGATGTCGATGGTGGGATGAAATGAAGACTGAATTCTTGTTTACATCACAACCCAATGTGAATTCATCAAAGGAGACCATCTCCCACCTTCACCCAATGCCTTCATGATCTCCAAGGAACCTGGGGTCCTCTGTTCCTGTCTCTCCCCCTAGTTTTGCTGAAGCAAAACAGGAGTTTGCAGAGCTCAGCAGGCCAGCCTCCATGGCATCCACCCCACCCTCCACATCCCAGCAGCCACGCATGCATAAGGCTTGACCAGTGCCAGGGCAGCCACGGGAAAGGAAAATGGGGCATGGGGAGCCCACTGCCACAGCACGTTCTGTGGTACAAGGAGCCAGGATAGCACTGTGCTGACTTAATAGCTGAGGTAGTGGCCCGGAACGTTTGCCAGAGTGATGAAATTTTAGGTGGTATCTGAGGGCCAGGAAGGACCCAAGCACAGGCAAAGTTGAGGAAAGAACATTCCAGACAGAAAAACAGGATCCACTAAGTTGTAGAGGCAGAAAAAGGCAGTGTGCTACAGAGATTGAAAAGAGCCTGAGGTGTCGGAGTTCAGAGGGGAGAAAGTAGTAAGGAAAACCCTTCACAATGTTCTTAAAGAAGTGGAAGGCCAACTGTGTCTGCCACCACTAGTACAGGAAAGGGGTGTGGAGGGGACTGCGTCAATGGGGTGGAAGGGACTGCATCAGTGGGGTGGTGGGAACTGCGTCAGTGGGGTGGTGGGGACTGTGTCAATGGGGTGGAGGGGACTGCATCAGTGGGGTGGTGGGAACTGCATCAGTGGGGTGGTGAGGACTGTGTCAATGGGGTGGAGGGGACTGTGTCAATGGAGGGGATTGTGTCAATGGGGTGGAGGGGACTGCGTCAGTGGGGTGGAGGGGATTGTGTCAATGGGGTGGTGGGAACTGCGTCAGTCGGGTGGTGGGGACTGTGTCAATGGAGGGGACTGTGTCAATGGGGCAGAGGGGACTGCATCAGTGGGGGTGGAGGGGACTGTGTCAAAGGGGGGTGGGGGGGACTGTGTCAATGGGGGTGGAGGGGACTGTGTCAATGGAGGGGACTGCGTCAATGGGGTGGAGGGGACTGTGTCAATGGAGGGGACTGCATCAATGGGGTGGAGGGGACTGTGTCAATGGAGGGGACTGCATCAATGGGGTGGAGGGGACTGTGTCAATGGAGGGGACTGCATCAATGGGGTGGAGGGGACTGTGTCAATGGAGGGGACTGCATCAATGGGGTGGAGGGGACTGTGTCAATGGAGGGGACTGCATCAATGGGGTGGAGGGGACTGTGTCAATGGAGGGGACTGCATCAATGGGGTGGAGGGAACTGTGTCAATGGGGCTACACAGTGGAGGAGAAAGTGGCCCAACTCTAAATGAAACAATTAAAGTAGGAAAACACTGTCCAGGTTTAGGGTGGACCCAAAGATGGAGAATTTCTGAGAGGAAACATGGGGGGCATAAAAGTGACCCAACAGGATCCCTGCTGAAGGCACACCAGGGGGAAGATACATCACTTGGAGGGGTGGTAAGAGATGAGAATCCCAGTTAGTGTTAGGTATGGCAGGTGACCAGATAGGGAGGGCGGAAGGGCAGGGTTCCGAACTCGGTAGGGTTCTTGCTAAAACTAGAGCACGAAGAGACAAAAAGGGAGACCTGGAGTGCAGGGCCCACCTGAGCTCATCTACACTTTGAGTCAGGAGGGACTCTGATCCAGACGGAGTCAGGAAGAGAAAGCTGCCAGACTCAGAAGTCCACTTGGGGAGTCTGAACCATCTGTTCGGGACAAACGGGACCAAGATAAGATGCACAGTTTTGAGACTGTGCTCAAAAATATATGTTGAACTGCACTGATAGAGGCACAAATAGCCTGGGACTTGGAGTGAGGCAAGGGAGACCATGCAGATCACAGCAAAGAAGTCACCTGAGATGATGTGGCCCTTGCTGGTCCAAGATGAAACCCCAGGAGGCACACTCATCATCAAACAACAACGGGCACTGAGCGGGGAAGCTAAGGGTAGGTGTGGCACAGGCGGACATGGAGGGGATACGCACATTTGAGTAAGTCAGGACAGCCTCAGATGGGAACACCGGCCCTGGGTGGGAGTGAGACACCCACAGCTCTCCGCAGGGGCAGGGCATAGAACGACTACACTCAAGGAGGGCAGGTGTCTTCAGTAGAATTCTACAGACCACTGAATTTGACATCGAAGCTGCTTCCCTGGACCTGGGGCAGATTCAGCAGCACTCTGCCCGTTTGCCTTGTCTGGCCAGATGGCCATTTGTGGGTAATATTATTAATTTAGCTCAATTCATGAGAAAAGACAAATTGTAACCTGGAATGGCTAGAAATCTTGTGTTTTGTTTGCTGGGGGCCTTAGGAGGTGAAGCTGTGCTGGGGTGCCTGGTCAGAATCAGTGAGGTCATAGCTGCTGGTCCCGCAAAAGGGCCAGGACAAGGCCAGTTAGGACACCCTGCCCCTCCTGCTATGTTATTCCAAGGTCAGCTAGGATAGTTAATACTTGCCCTGTTCCCCAGGCCTAAAACTGTTTCCACAGAGCCACACTGCCATTTACAACAAAAGACCCTATGGTTTGCAAGTATGTGTGTCCTACTTCAGTTTGGGTAAGGGAATTCAAGGTAAAAGGATAAATGTTTGAGACGATAGCATGACTAGGATTCAGAAGAGAAGTCACTCACTTCAGCCTCTGACACCCAGAGGAAGGCCAGAAACTTTTTCTAAATATTTTCTTTATTTTTATTTTATGTGTACAAGTGTATTGCCTGCGTGTGAGTGCACCCATGTCCTGCAATGCTCTCAGAGGTCAGAAGAGGGAGTCAGATTCCCTGGGACTGGAGTTATGGATGGTTGTTAGCTACCATGCGAGTGCTGGGAACCCAACCCAGATCCTTTGCAAGAGCAGTCAGTGTTCTTAACCACTGAGCCATCTCTCCAGCCCCAGAAAGCCAGAATTTCATCCTGAAGTTCCTAGCAGACGAAAGAAAAGGGAACAGCTTAAGACTTTTTTCTCAGAAATAGTGTTCAACATTAAATCAAAGTGAACTCGTTATTAAGAAGTTGACAGTTTCTGGTCCTGAAGCCCAAGAGAAACTTCTCATGTATGTGCTAATAGAAGGGATGTGATTTAAAAAACTATTTTCTGGTTTAAATGCCTTAACACAGATTAATGCAAAAAACTACCACACAATTTTAGGAACATTAAGTCTACAGGGAAGCAAAAAAAATATCTTCACTCATTTGAGCAGTTCTTGGGTGTCTTTGCATAATCTGGAAGAAAATTTTAGAACAGTTTATTGAGTGGGCTGCGTGTTCGAGGCAGTTTTCATAAATGAGTCCAAACAGGAAAGCTGGGAGTTGAGAAACGTCAACTGAATAATATTGATCCAACAAAACACAGTGGCTTAGTTTCTGGAAGTTGGGACTTGTGCCTGGAGCTAGGGACAGATTCCTGAACAGACCTGAGCCTTGCCCACAAAATGCTTAAAGTCCACTGCAAAGACAGAGCTTTGCAAATATGGTAACAGGGTGTACTGTGCCGTGATGGGGGTGGGTTAGCCTCATCCTCAGCTGCTGGATCCTGACTGCAGGGGCAGATGCTGTGAAGTCTTCTTCTGTCTTTCTGTTTTCCATTGGTTTGTTTTGGGGGGGGATTGTGTAGGTACACTTTTGTGATTGTGTGTGCATACATGTACAGGCCAGAGGACACCTCAGAATGCCATCTGCCTTATAGTTTTGTTTCGTTTTATTGTTTTGTTTTACTTTGTTTTAGACAGGATCTCTCACTGGCCTGGAAAGAACCAACTAGGCTGGGCTAGCTGGCCAGCAGGCCCCAGGGTCTGCCTGTCTCTATCTCCCCAACACTGGAATTAGAAATGGCGTTGCCATGTAGGAATTTTGGCACATAGATTCTGGGGCTCTAACTGGGGTCCTCCAGCTTTCGAGGCAAATCTTCCAACAGAGCCATCTCCTCAGCCCCGTTCCTGGTATTGCTGCTGCTTGGCTGTTATTTTTTGTTCTTCAGAGTGAAGCCAGGGCCTCATTCATTCTAGACAAGTACTCTGTATCTCTGTTCCCACCCCGTTTTTATACATCACAATTTGTCCTCTTGAAACAGGGTCTATGTACCCAAGACTGGTCTCAAACTAGTGGCCCTCCTGCCTCAGCCTCCCTGGTCCTGAGATTACAGGTGTATGCCACTATACCAGGTGTGTAAGAAGCATTCTCTCTCTCTCTCTCTCTCTCTCTCTCTCTCTCTCTCTCTCTCTCTCTCCTAGAGAGAATGTTAACCAGCTGTAGGAAGAGAGAGTTTCTGCCTCCACAGTCACCACTGAGCTTAGGATTGATTCTGTTCCCATTCTCTGTGTTGCCAGAGCGACCGGGAGAACAGGAAATGTGGAAAAGCGCACTTGGGTTATTAAAAAAAAATTAACTGAATGAACACCAGATTTCCAAAGGAAAACAAGGACCCAGACTTTTAGATGTTTTGAGTTGCTGCTGAGCGGACAGTGACCTGTAGTCTGTTTTTGTCTGCAGGCTGGTATCAGACAATTCTTGAGCCTCTTCCAGATCACGTAAGTCTGCCATGTTCCTTTAGGAGGAAAGGAGCAGGGAGGACAGAGACAGAACGGCGTTCATAGGAATTTTTGCAACTGCTTGTCCATGTCTGTAAAATTTTGCCAGTTTTCTGAAAAAAGCATCTTGGATTTCAGTATGAATTCTATTGAATCTCTGTGTTGATTTTTAAAGAATTCTATTTTAACAGCATTAAATCCCCAATCTATAAAGACTGAACATCTTTGCAATTATTAAGGCCTTTTAAAATGATGTTCAACAAAGTCCTTTCAGATTCTAGAGTACAAGTCTCACTTCTGCTGAGCGTGCTCTTAAGGGTTTTATGCTTTTGGACCCTTTTGCCGTCATTCTTCACTCCTTATTTTCAAATCATTATTACTAGCTTATAGAAAAGCAAATCGCTATTGCTATCACATATAAATAAACTGAATTTCGCATAGGGTGGAACGTATTTTCTGACCCCTTGCTGAATTTCTTTTTAGCTCTAAAGCGTAATGTTAGTGGAGTCTCCGGGCTTTTCCACACCCAGTACCATTGCACTGACAGTCCCCTTTTCTGCCTTTCATAACCCAACCAGGTGACCCAGGATCCTCTCAGCTCATTAACAACTTCTATTCGCTTTGCCCCTCACAGCAGAGCACAAGCAAGTGTTTGACTGAGTGAGCCCAGAAATGAGGATATTTGGAGGGCATCCTTAGAATTCTGCCGTTCACAAGAATTAAACTTCCATGCAATGGGCTGAAGAGATGGCTCAGCAGTTAAGAGCACTGGGCATTCTTGCCAAAGACCTGGGTTCAAATCCCAGCACCCACATGGTGACTAACAACCATACATAAACTCCAGTAACAAACCATCCATAACTCCAGTTCCAGGGGACTTTGAAGCCTTCTTCTGACCTCCAAGGGCATTGCACGACACGGGTGCACTTACATACATGCAGGCAATGCCCTCATATACATAAAATAAGATATAAATCATTTTTTAGAAAACTTCCATGTAAGATCCCAAACCCCAGACTTATATCTTCAGCAAAAGAATCTATGTTGCTCCCTAATGCAGCACTGTGATCTATGACCTGTGACCTCTGTCCACACTGTCCCCTCCACTGACTCACTCCAATGTTCCACCTACATAGAGAAGGAACTTTGCTGAGGTCCTCGATGCAGGGAAATGCCACAGTGATGATGACTATGAAGACCCTGAGCTCCAGCTGCTAACGGCATGGCCGTCAATGAAGATTTTACCATCCCGGCCCATAAAGGAATCTGAATATGCAGGTACCATTGGGGGTCTGCCTAATGTCTGAAGATACGTGTCAGGGGTCAGTGTCACAGTGATTAAGGGCAGAGATTATGAATTAAAGAACACAAGGTTAAAACCCTGCCTCCGGGGCTTACTCAACTTGAGCAAGTCTCTAGAATTGCCTTTCTGTCTGAAAACCAGAATCATAATAGCAGAACTGGCCCTAGAGAGCTCTTCCAAAGACTGTGTGAACGGCGTGTGGAGTCGAGATCTGTTCCTGCTTGCTGCCCTTGAGTGCTGGGCCTGGGCCTGGGCCTGGGCCTGGAACAAGGCAGAGGTAGGCAGGCAGGGAGGAAGGGAGGTCATGTAGGAAGTGCAAGACCAGAGTCTGCACAGTGGGAGACCACAGAGAGAGAGATGACTAACTTTGTTGACTCACTCTGGAGATGGTCAGCCTAGGACACAACTAGGAGCTGGTATTGAAGTCACACTAGTCAGGAGGGAGGGAGGCTAGCTTCATTACCCCCCTTGGCATTTTTCTAGCTGGGGTACACAGGGCAGCATCACCTGGCTCTCCAAACCATTGTAAAAAGGGAGGAGGAAACATGCCTGATTCTGAGGGCCTGACCCACGGGAATGAATCTACAGAAGTTTCCTAGAGGAAGTTGTTTCGTGAGGCCTGGAGACAGATGCCTGTAATCTCAGCACTGCAGAGGTTGAGATGGGAGGATCCCAAGTTCTACACCTGCTTGGGCTGCATAGTGAGACCTTGACTCAAACCAACAAAAATTGTGATGATAAGGAGGAGGAGGAGGAGGAGGAGGAGGGGGAGGAGGAGGACATGGATGAGGAGGAGGAAGAAAAAGAGGAAGATGATGAGGAGGAGGGGGAGGAGGGGAAGGAGGAGGAGGAGAAGGAGGAGGAAGAGGAAGAGGAAGACCTTTT